AACACCACAGCTCAAAGGCATCAATTCTCCTTCTATCCTCCCTAGTCATTGCCCGACTCTCTGATGCATAACAAGTGATAGCAAAGACCGTGGCCTGTATTAGATGCACTAGTTTTATTAATGTTTGTTTTATATATTTGTAGGTCTTTCATTTGGTGCATAGATATTTATTATTGTTATGTCCCCTTGTTCTATTGACGCTTTAAGCATTATGTAGTGACCTTCCTTGTCCTTTTGGTGGTTTTTCTATTGAAGTTTATTTTTTTCAGAGCTTAATATCACTACTCCTGCTTTTTTCTGGTTGGCGTTTGCTTGGTATTTTTCTCCCTACCCTTTTATTTTTAGTCTTTCTTTATATTCACTTTTTATGTGTGTCTCTCGTAGACAACATATCGATGGATTTTGTTTTTTTCAACCATTCACATTCATTGTGATTATTGAGAGGCAAGGTTTTATTGCTATCATTTTATTGAGTTCTTTTTGGTGTTGTTGCTATTTACTTTGGTCCATCCTGTTTTCTGTTGCACTTCTGTAAGAAGGACATCTCTCAGTGTTTTCTGCAACAGTGGTCTTGTTTTTACCAAGTCCCTTAGATTCTATGTTTCTGGGAATATCTTGATCTTTCCTTCATATTTGATGGACAGTTTCTCTGAGTATGGTATTCTTGGTTGACCGTTGTTTACTTTGAGTGTTTGAAATATGTCTTTCCACTGTCTTCTTGCTCACATGGTTCCTGCTGAGCAATCGGCACTTAATCTTATCTGTTCTCCCTTATAGGTTACTCTTTGTTTCTCCATCGCTGCTATCAGAATTCTCTCCTTATCTTCAATTCTGTCATATTTGACTATTACTTGATTTGGTGTTTTTATTTTTGGGTCTATTCTATATGGTGTTCACTCAGCTTCTTGAACATATATATATTCTCTTATTCTTCATTATGCCTGGGAAGTTTTCTTCTAGTAAGTCTTCCACAACTTTTTCTGTGCTTTTACTTGTTTTCTTCTGTTCTGGTATTCCAATGATGCACATCTTATTTCTTTTGATGGTTTCCCACATTATCCTTAGGTTTTTGGTTGCACGTGCAGACACATACTTGGGCAGGGGGTGGGGGAAGACACATACACAGATGCACATGGGAGGGGAGTGTGGGAGAGACCTCACTCAATATTTACCTTCCTCTTTGCTCCTGGCAGGTGGTTCATGCTGTAGCTCCTTGTTTCCTGCTGTGGCTTGCTGCTCCCTACAGTAGCTTGCTGCACCCCACAGAGGCTTTCTGTACCCCACCTACCCTTGCTGCACCCACCAATGCTTGCAGATCCTGAAGCTCTCAATGTCCTTGTTAATCTTTTCTATTAGTTTTGCTAGTGGTTTGGTGATTTTTATTGAACTTTTCGAAGAACAATAATGGTTTTGTTGATGGTTTTAATGATTTTTTTGTTTTCTATTTCATTTATTTCTGTTCTCAATGTCCTTGTTGATCCACAACAATAATTTGAGAAGCACTATATATTTGTGCTCTCTTTTTGGCCTGAGACTTGCAAGGCTGAGGGTCTGACAGCAGTTTTCCCCCCAAAATACGTGTTGTTTACTTCTGGAAGTGGCTTCTCACCACCATTGAGGGACCCAGGACCTCCCAGTTGCCTGATTAAAAGGGTTTCATGTGGTCAGGCCAGACAGCAGTTTGTTCCCCAAAGTCCCTAAATGAGCATGGAGAAAGCCTATTGTTCCCTTCTGGAAGTAGCTTCTCACCTTCGTTGAGGGGCCCAGGACCTCCCTGTGGCCTGAGTTAAGGAGTCATGTGTGGTCATGCCTGGTGGGTGTGTCTCACATCAGCTCCACAGGCAGCTTCTGGTCGGGACTCAGGTGGTAGCTTCTGCTGGGGTCCATGGCTCACTCCTCCTGAGTGAGCATGGTCAAGCTAGCTAGCATTTCTCCCCTACTCTCCCCCCATAATGTGGGAGCAAGGCAGGCAATGCTGTCCATGCTTCCTATTGTCCTGTGTTTTCTGTAGTCCTGTGCTTCCTGTAATCCGGTGCTTCCCGTGGTCCCGCACTTCCTATGGTCCTGCACTTTTCACCAGCTCTGTCTTGTATCATCTTTGAATGGAATTTTTCTTTTGATATCCCTAATCTTATTTGAAAACCTTTACTTTTTAATGTAAATGTAATTCCTAGATGTCCTATTGTTTGACATTTTTGTCTTAAACTGGAGATGCTTAGCTATTTATTTATGTCTTTTAAAAAAATGGCATTAGAGGGCTAGAGTGTTTGGAACACAAGCCAATTCATTTGTGCATTGAATCCCCACTAGAGTCAAATAGATAAAATCTTAACCCTGACATAAGCAAATGTAAAAAAAAAGAAATCAACTCATGTCCCCTGATCATATGTAATGCCAATGGTAACACATGCAATGCTGAATTTATTATAAAGAAAACATTTATTGGAAGTCACTGTTATTTGTGATGGTGTTACTGATAATGATGATGTCTGTGATATAAAGTGTTGATACCTATACCATTGATTCTTTCGGGTAAAGTTTGTCTTTGGGTAATATTATGATTAATAAATAATTTAAAGTTTATCCATAATAAATTTAGGAATACTTCTCTACTCACTTTTTGTTTTGAAGTCTTATTTTCTCCTTTCCCCTTATGATATTTCAAATACACACACACACACACACACACACACACACACATATATGGAGGAGTGGCATCCACTTCCATAATAGCTTGCCTTTGGAAACCCTATGAACCTGGAGAAAGGATGAAAGGCACCCAAGCATCAAGGACTCTCCTTCATAGGGTCGCTATGAGTCACCTGCAACTCAACAGCACTTAACAACAATCTGTCTATCTATCTATCTATCTATCTATCTATCTATCTATCTATCTATCTATCATCTATCTAACATTTATATCTAGCCTTCAAAGAAGCTAACTTATGACATATATTTTTTATAATAATCACTATGGAGGACATATTTGTCTTTTTTTTTCTTATTAAAAACAAATCATTTTTTCTCTTTACTTTCTTTTCAGAACAACTTAAAAAAGAAAATGGTAAGCTTTGATGATATTCAATTTATAGACGTTTTATGATCTTCTGACAGGGATTTTTTTCTGTTGTTGTTGCCTTGTCTATGCCATTAACTTTCTCTGAATTTTGTGTGACTTTTTTCTTTTCTGGTTTTTACTAATTTTTATTGTTACGTCTTCTCTTGCCCATTTCTCTTTCATATGTCTCTCTCCCATCAATTACATTGGTCCAATTCTTGAATTATCTTTAGCAAATGGATTTTTTTCTTGATTTTTCTTCATGATATTAGCAATAGCTTCTCATGTCTGGTATGAGATAAAGGTTAATTTGCTATAAGAAAGACTTTAGAGCTCTTGTTGTACCTGCTTTGTTCAAGGATTCATAAGAATGCTTTTTCTGGGCAATCCAAATCCTAAAAAGTGCTTGAGACAGTTTCTTGAAAAGTAAGCCCATCTTCTCAGCTTTATGGGTTGAGGCTTAATGCCTGGACCAGTGGTGCAATCATTGTAAGTGCTTTGTTATTGTGCATCTTCCTGTAGAAATTATCAGACATGCTTTTGAGTAACTAATCTAGCCACCTATCAACAAACAGATCTTCACCATATTATTATTTATGTTATTGTTAAAACATAAACATTTACTTTTTAAAATTCGTTTTTAGACCAAATTAAGAAAGAACAAGATAAGTTTGTATTGTATAAGTTAGTCAGGAATGCAATACTTTTATATCTGAGAACAAAATTATGTGCATAGTTATGGTAGTTTGTAAAAATTTGGAACCAAAAAAAAATTTGGAACCAGAAATAAATGAAGTTGCTTCAATTTCTAGTACTACAAGACAATTATACCTTCATACACCTTGGTAACAGTGGCATAGTCAATTCTAACTTTCTTGGTTACTGCCAATAATTTAATAATATGAAAATAATAAAATAATGATGGTCAGAACAACTTATTACATGAAATCCTAAAGAGAGATGACACTTGCATGAGTTTTCTATTATTTTTATTTTCTTTTCAAACTCTAGAATGTGTTGCATTGGCATGTCAGGGAAACTACAGTGCCTTGAAATTATTTTTTCCAGTTTAAATCTTGGATATATCCTAAACTTAAAAGCATCAAAAGCAATTTGATAACAGAGTAAGCTTTGTATTTAAAAACAAAGAACAAATGAATATAACATCCTTTATTTCCCAGTATAACTCTTTTTTGCATTTAGAGACTTGTACTATGTTCAAATCAAAACAAAGAGTATTAATACTTCACCTTTCAAAGAACTGAATAAAACTATGTTGTTGCTGTTGTTGCTGTTGTTGTTGTTATGTGCTGTTGAGTCACTTGTGACTCATAGCGACCCTATTTACAACAGCCCTAAACTCTGCTGTGTCCTGTGTCAATACGACTGTCTCCGACACTCGCATCCCAATTATCCCAGTCACTGAATCAATCCACCTCATCGAGGGCCTTCCTCTCCTGCGCTGTCCCTCCACCCTCCCAAGCATGATGTCCCTCTCCAAGGACCCGGTCTCTCCTTACAACATGTCCCAAGTATGTTAGACGGAGCCTCAGAATCCTTGGCTCCAAGGAGCCACCCGGTTTAACCCTTTCCAGGACAAATCTGTTTGTTTTCCTAGCAGTCCATGGTATTCTCAATTCTCTTCTCCAGCACCACAGCTCAAAGGCATCAATTCTCCTTCTATCCTCCATGGTCATTGTCCAACTCTCTGATGCATAACAAGTGATTGTGAAGACCATGGCTTGTATCAAAATCACCTTAGTCTCCAGGGAGACACCATTGCTCTTCAGTACTCTGGAGAAGTCCCTAACAGCAGACTTTCCCATGGCAATGCACCTTTTAATTTCCTGGCTACTGGTGCCAAGACTGTTAACTGTGGAGCCAAGTAAACTAAAGCTGTGTACAATCTCAATCACTTCACCATCCATCCTGAAGCTGCCAATTGGTTCAGTGGTGAGAATCTTTGTCTTCTTGACATTGAGCCTCAAAGTTTAGAATTAGAAAATTGTGTGCTATTTGCAATATGACTTTTAATTTCCCTATATAACTTTCATTACCACAATGAAACTTGTATATAGATCAAATCAAAACAATTAAGACTACTACAACTTCAACATTTAAGAACTGGGTAATCTAAAGGGAAAACTATCATATTTCCTTACAGGGTCCATAAAATGATGGTAAATCTCTTATCATCCTAAAATGAAATTTTTCTTTTGATGACTAATCCAATGAAGTAGTTTGTTTAGTTACCTCTTGAAAAGTTTTAATTTTTAGTGTAAATGTAATTCCAAGCTTTCCTACTGTCTCACTGTTGTGTGAAATTGTAAAACAGAGCTTTTGTTGCACTTACTTTGCTCAAGTTTTCATGAAAAGAATGCTGCTTCTAAGCAATGCAATTCCAACAATGTGCTTAAGACAGTTTCCTAAAAAGTAAGCTTATATTTTCCGTTTTTTTTTTTACTTCAGCTTTAGTGCCTGGACCAGTGGTGCAATCATTCTAAGTGCTTAGAGATTAGGAATCTTCCTTTAGAAATTATCAGACATGGTTTTCAATAATTAGTCTTGCCACCTGTTGATAGTTACAACTTCACCATGTTATTAAACCTTTTGATCCTTAAAACTGTCTTTTTATAATTTTTCAGACCAAATTAAGGAAGAGAAAGGTAAGTTTATAAAGAACAAAATATTCGGAAATGTCATATCTTGATATCTGAGAGCAAAATTATAGGTATAGTTATGGCATTTTGTCAAAAGTTTAAACTCAGGAATAAATTATTTGAACTTTTACTTCTATAAAACACAGGTATGTCTTGACACACCTGGGATAACTGTGGAACAGTTGATTCAACATCTCTTGGCTCTTTACCATCATCTTAATAACACGCTAATAAAGAAATAATAATGGTCAAAGGAACCTATGAGGAGAAGACATCAAGAGAGATGACACTTTCCCAAGTTTTTTTATTTTAATTTCTCTTTTTGAATTCTAAAATGCAGACTGTGTTGCATTAACACAGCAGAGAAACTACAAGTTGTCTTGTAATAATTTCTCCAATTTGAATCCTTGATATATTCTAGACTTAAATATATCAGAAGGAATTTGTTAGCAGTGTGAATTTTGGATTTAAAAATAATGATCTAATAGCAACAACATCCTATATTTCCAAATACCAGTTTTTTACCACCTAGAAATTTGTAAAATGTTGAAATAAAAACAATGAGTACTAATACTTCATACCTCAAAGAACTGAATAAACCCAAAGGAAGACTATGTCTTGGACTTTTTTAACTTGTGAGTTCTCTAAAATCATATTAATTTGATATCTTTATTTTTTTAGTGTAAATATTGTTCCCAGCCCCCCTATTAACATTGCAAACTTGTCCTGTCCTGGAGATTTAAAGCTATTTATGAATGTTTCTAGAATGCTACTCAAATAGAGAAAATTTAGAACTCCAATTAGTTGATATATTACATGAAAGTACCTTTGAAGTCAAATAAGTTTTTGATAAAACCTCAAATGTAGAAAATGTCTAGAAAGACAGCAAATTATATATTCTTTCTCTCCTCTCAGTTTCATCTTCTAGATCATGTCATTAGTTACTCTTGAATCCCACTGATGATCAAATGTGATACTCTTTGTAAGATATGCAATGATGAGTCCCATACAGTTCAAAGACTTGTTGAAATTCCCTGGCATTTATGATGATTGGAGTGTTTATGATGATGTTAATGAAGATATGATATTGGTGATGTGGAAATTATATCTAAATTAATTGTTAGAGTAACATGAAAAAATCTGAATATCAAATTATTAAAATTTTATATATATTGAAATTAAGATTTATTCTTTCATATACTATTTGAAATACCACCATATTAACCTTTTTTTTGACATTTTAGTCACATACTCATACAATTTATAGTATGTATATTTAACCTTTAAAGAAGTGAACCTACAGCCTTTGTGCTTGATTGAAAAAGTTTAGGGAAAAAGTTTGAAAAAGTTTATGCTTATTTGGTTTGGTCATATTTGAATATTTTTTTTTCTTCTCTTTCTCTTTCAGAACAATTTCAGAAAGAAAATGGTAAACTTCAATGACAATCAGTTTATGGACATGTTGTCATCTTTCTACGGGAATCTTGTTTGTTTACTTTTTCCTCCTCCATCTTTGCTATTAACTCCTGCTAAATATATTTTGTGTGATTTTCTCTCATCATTTTTATTTTTATATTTCTAGCTGTTCTATTTGCCCATTTCTTTCCTCATTGTCCTTATTCCAAAAATCACATTTGTCATATTATTGAATTATCTTTAACAAATATAATATTCCTTGATCTTTCTTTATGATCAATATGTTTTCATGTTCAGTCTGAGATGACATTAATTCTTCTGTCAGAAAGTGTTAGAGCTCTTGTGATACTTCTGTGCTCGAAGTTTGGTGGTTAAAGTAAAGCATCTAGACAATAGAGTTTTATCAAAGTACTTGAAATAGTTCTTTAAAAACTCTTAGCTTTGTGATTGTAACATTGGTGCCTAGACCAGTGTTGGAGTCATGTCATATACTTAGTGATTATGATTCTTACTTTATTGGATATAATTAGATGTTTTTCAGAAATTGTTTTTTGTTGTTAATCTGGCCCCTTAGCAAAGTTTGGAATCTAATCATATTATGGAATCTGTTGACCTAGAAATTGTCTTAAGTTTTTTCTATTATTTTTCATATAGTGAAGAAAGATAAATGTGGGTTTATCAATTTAGATGAATTCGTACAGAGTCCTTGAGATCTTTTCCAAGGTTGCAAACTGCTTTGGAGGAGATTCTTCACCTTTCTCTCACAGAATCATTGGTGGATCTGAAAACTGCAGCTTATGAGTTAACAGCTCAGCTCCCTGTAGACTATGCCAGCAGAAAATAGTGGCTTTCAATCTTACTTTTCCCATCTTTTTTTTATTATTATTAATTTTTTAAAAATCATTTTAATGAGATTTTACAGAGATTTTGGATTTCCATTCATTCATTACTGCACTTCCCTCCCCCCTCAGCCCTCCCCCTACCCCCCAGTTCACTCCTCTCTTTCAAAAGTAAAAGAAACACTCCTTCCCTGGTACACAATACCCCCACACTGCTCCCACCACCCCAAGAACATTCCACTATGTAACCTTAATTGTGGACTCTTGTGACCATCTTATCTAAAAAAAAAAAAAAATAATTCCCAGCTGCTAAAACACACAGGCCAGTCAGGACCCTTGATTTTCTCTTCTATTACATATTAATCTAAAATAGACAATGTAATGCTCAAAATTCACTGAAGCATGTTTCTTTTAAATATGACTGGCAACCTAGTAGGTGCTGGTTGGCACAAAAGAGGTAATAAGTTGGCTGCTACTTGAAAGTGTTAATGCTTTAAGTTCATTCAGAAGCACCTCAGAGGAAAGGCTTGGAATTCTGTTTCCTATGACTGAGCCATTAAGAATCCTATGGAACTCACTTCTGCCTATATAGCCATGAAGTCACTGTGTCACTGTCAATTCATCATGCACTGGTTACTGACCAACAACCTAACAATGTGATAATAATGGAATAATGATGATCAAAACATTCTATGACAAGAAGGTTTTTTTATTAAAAATGACACTTCCTTCGTTTTTTATATATAAAAATCTTAAATCTGATTGTGATACATACATTAGCATATAACATGAAAACTGCAGATAATCTTACAATTCAAGACAATATAATTTCTCCAAATTGAATTCTTGACCGGCTCTGGAACTTATGAACACCAAGAGCACTTTGAGAGTTGAGTGTGCTTAAGATTTGAAAGTAGTGAGCTATTTGCAATAAGATCTTTATTTCACTGTGTAATTCTAATTAACACCTAGAAACTTGCATGTCAATCAAATAAAAGGATATTGTTTATACTTCAATTTTTAAAGAACTGGGTAAATATAAAAAATCCATTCTACATTCTTATATATTCCTTATAATGATGGTAAGTTTATATTCTATTACCTTAAAATGAAGTTTTCTTTAATAATTCTAATTGGTTGAAATATTTTGTCCAGTATACTCTTAAAAAAAAGTTACTTTTAGTGTGAATGTAATTTCAAGCTTTCCTGTTGTTTGACATAATTAATTATCAAGTAATAGTTGTTGTTGTTATGTGCCATCAAGTCATTTGTGACTTATAGCAACCCTATGTCCAAGATCCCTAAATGCCATCCTACCCTGTGCCAACCTCGCTGTCTCAAAAACCTTCATTCCCACCACTCCAGGGTCTTCCTCTCCTGCGTCATCCCTCCACTCTCCCAAACATGATGTCGCTCTCCAGGGACCAGTCCCTCCTTGCAACATGCCCAAAGTATGTCAGATGAAGCTTCAGAATCTGACTCCAGGGAACACTCTGGCTTCACCCTCTCCAGGACAAACCTGTTTGTTCTCCTAGCAGTCCGTGGTATATTCAACACTCTTCTCCAGCACCACAACTCAAAGGCATCAATCCTCTTTCTATCAACCCTATTCACTGTCCAACTCTCTGATGCATAGCACAAAATTGCAAAGACTATAGCCTGGATCAGGCGCACCTTAGTAATGACGAAAATCTGTATCTATATTCATTTTTTAAATTGTGTTAGATGGCAAGAGTATCCGGAACACTAAACCACTTAGTTTACTGCATGAAACCACTTTTGGAGTCAAATACATCGAAGTTCAACCATGAAATAGCAACTCTAGAAAAGCTACCAAGTTACAGATCCTTATCTAATGTAATACTGCTAGTATCATATGTAATTTCAAGTTCAGTATAGAGAAAACTTTTGTTGGAATCACTAGCATTCGTGATGATGATTTTTGCAATTATGATGACAATAAGAAAATGTTTCGACACTTAGACAATTGTTTCATTAGGGTAAAATTAGACTTAAAGTAACATTATGAAGCATTACATTCACAAATAATTTAAATTTTATCCATGATATCATTAAGATTATTTCTCTGTTCACTATTGGTTTTGATGTCTTATTTTTCCCTTTCCTTCAGGATATTTCAATAAGATATATACAAGAAAAAGAACAATTCTTATGTTTAGCTTTCAAAGTAGCTAACATAGGGCATATGTATCTGATGGGAAGCACAATGGAGGATATATTCTTTTGCTGTTATTAGAAAATAATTGTGTTTTTTTCTTTACTTCTTTTTAGAACAACTTAAAAAAGCAAATGGTAAGCTTCACTGTTACTCAGTTTATTGACAATTTATGATCTGTCAGAGATTTTCTGCCTTCCTTCTTCTCTCATCTATGCCAATAACTTCCTTTGAATTTTGCATGACTTTACTCTTTATGGTTTTTATTCTTTTTTTATTGTTATAAGTTTCCTTGTCCATGTGTCTCTCCTGTATCTCTCTCCCATCAATTACATTAATCTCATTATTTAATGATCTTTAATAAATGTAGAAGTTCTTAATCTTTCTTCATGTACTAGTAATAGCTCCTTTTGTCCAGAGGGAGATGAATGTCAATCTGCTTTGACAGAGTATTAGACATAGCTCTTGTTGTAGCTACTTTGCTCAAAATTACAGGGTAAGAATGCTACTTTTAGGCAGCCCAATTTTTATTATGTGTTTGAGGGAGTTTCTTGAAATGTGAGACTGTATTCTCTGCTTTAACCTTGCACTTTAGTGGCTGAACCAGTGGTATAATCATTCTAAGTGATTAGTGATTAGGAGTCTTCCTTTAGAAATTATAAGACATGTTTTTGATTCACTAATCTGGCCACCTATTATTAGCAGAACTTCAACATATTATCTATCATACCTGTTGATTCTTAAAACTTTTTTCCCCCTAATTTGTTTTCAGACCAAATTAATGAAGAGACAGGTATTTCTGGAAAATAAAAAATATTCAGGGATGCCATATCTTGATATGTGAGGGAAAAACAATGAGTATAGTCATGGTGGATTGGCAAAAGATTGAACCCAGGAATAAATGAAATTACTTGAATATCTACTGATATACAAGAGTTATGCTTTGACACACTTGAGGTCAATTGTGGCACAGTTAAACAAAACCTTTTTGGTTACTGGCTGCAAATTTATGACATGATAATAAGGAAATAATGATCATCAAAGGAATGGGTAACAAGGAGTCATCAAGAGAGATTACACTTCCCTGCATTTTCTATTCTTTTTGTTTCTTTTTATATTCTAAAATACAGACTCTTTCATTAGTACAGCCACGATGCAACGTAATGTCTTGAAATAATTTCTTCAATTTGAATCTTGGACATGTTCTAGACATTAAAAGGAATTTGATGTTAGCAAGACATTTGAATTTGAAAAGTATGACCAAATGGCAAGAACATCATATATTTTCCATGATAACTCTTTTATGCTAACTAGAAATTTATAAATGTTGAGATCAAGCAAAGAGTATTAATTCTTCACCTTTGAAAGAACTGAATAGATCTAAAGGGAAGAATATTCCTTGTATTTTCTTCCTTGTAGGTTTTCTAAAATGATGGTAACTTCATATCTTAACCACTTTAT